AATAAAATATGTCTTTCACTGAAATACATTTCCAAATATTTTGCTTTCATTAGCCTTCATCGAAATACACAGAGTCAATAAATAACCACAAATCAGATTTAAAACCTGGTTTTTGATGCCATCATCTCCTCTCAGATCTGTGGTGTTGAGTTGGAAAACAATGAACTGGAAAAGTCTGCCGTTGGTCCCGACTGCCTGTATTGTGATCGGATGATCCAAGACACGCCAAGTCTTGGGCTTGGTGTATGTATGCATGTATGAACAGATACAGACAAGACAGAGAGGATGAGGGGGAGAAAGAGAAGAAAATGCATTTCGTCAAATTCACAAAGATCCAACAAATATGTGGAGAATTATTTTGTTTGGAGGCTCATGATTTTGGTAAATGGGCTGTTGCTAAGGTAGCATTTTTCTACCTCAGGTACTCAAAGTGCTTTACACTATTCGCCTACTGATGACAGAGCATCAGGATCAACTTGGTTGGGGGGGGGGTTCAGTATCTTGCTCAAGGACACTTCAACATGGTCGCAATACTCAGGGATCGAACCACCAACCTCTGGTTTGGGAAACAGCTCTGATCGCAAGCTGCATTTGCAGACTGCTGATCGCTAAAAATTTCGGTCCACCATAGGTTAAAGGTGACCTGCTTTTTTATTTTTTCAATACTTTTTGTGAAAGTGAGACTGATAGGATGCTAAGAGTGTGGTGTGCACTAACATAAAAACATGTCTATTAATTAATACACACACTAACACACAAATGTTTTGGGTTGTTTTTTTGTCCTCTATACCCCTCCCGATTGACTTGGGACCAGTCCGCGAGCTATCGCGATTGACGTATTGGGCACGCCTGATTTATGGAGCCCCCAAAAAAACTATCGTGTGCACTTTTTTCGCATCGAACGATAAGTTGATCAAGTGACAGGCCTATATGAAGACAGTTTCAAGCACTAAAATAAAAACAAAAGATTAAAAATATCACTCACTGCAGCTGCACTTCAACGAGCCATCACCGTTGGTATGCTGTGTCATCCATCCACCCATTTGAACTAATTTACTTCACAGTAAACATTTAGCTGAGCCATAGCTCACCTTGACTGCCCCTCTTTTCTTTAAATTGCCCCCGCTGCCTATAATACCTAATCACAATTTAAGGAGATCCCGCAGGTCAGCAATTTTGTCCAGGATACTGAAAGTGCAATGGAGCTCGGCTTTGTTTACGTTGCCTTCGCCACCTACAGAGCCTGCCAGACCTGACAACAATTCACGGAGGTCTCCGTGGTCACACGCCATCTCATCCGCGATGTTAAAAGTGCAGGGAAAAGTCGCTGGAACTCGTCAGTTTGTACTGTAATCCAAATGTCAATGAAATCCATAGTTTATAATAAAGAGAAAAGTAAGGTTAAAAAAGAAAATGTCATCGTTATCCTCTGGCGGTCGCAGAAGCAGGCAGCCCTCGATGCGGTCCCACGGCTGTAGGCCCTGGTGACCACCACGAGAGCCTCAACTACTGCCCTCATTCTAGTGAATGGACCGGAATTTTTTATCCCAAGTTGCAATATTTACAATAAATACCCACCGTATTTTCCAGATTATAAATCTCTTTTTTTTTCTCAAAGTTTGGCCCGGGGTGCTATTTATCCTCTGGAGCGACTTATGTGTGAAATTATTAACACATTATTATATCATTTCACATTAATTTCACATTAAACCGCAAGAGGGCGTTCTCAGCCTGTGTTGATAAATCGACGATGACTCTGACGTAGAAGAGGAAGCGCCGCAATATCGGCCAAAATATTGGTCTTAATTTGCAGGATCAGATAATGCAGTTGATGTTATTTTTCCTCCATTATCAGTCCAATAATTATCGTGACTCCCTAGTGTGCATAATCAGGTCCAATCAGTGGGCAGACCGCTGAGCAAGTGTTTTAACACATACACAGTGCAGTTTACTCTTTATAAAAAAAAAATAATAATAAAAAAAAATCCCAAATCATATATAAAATGAGTTCAACATGATAAAATGTCTCCTCTTTACTTACAGTCCCCTGTGCATGACTGTGTAACGACACCTTTGTCCTCCATTACCCTTACTCCAGAGTATATATACATACACACACACACACACACACACACACACACACACACACACACACACACACACACACACACACACACACATACACTTACCCCATAAAGCATATGTGCACGTGCCAGAGCATTTCCAAAAAGGAACATGATCATCTTGGCTCTGAACTGCTCTGGGGGAAGCTTGAAGCGAGTATCATCTCCTTCCAGGAAGTAAAGAGTGTGGGTATGAGGATAATAATGCTGTCCTCTGAAACCTGAATGAAAAACAATTTTTTTAAAACGTCTCAACGATAAAAAGACACTAAAAATGTGGGTAATAATGTAGTGTGTAATAATGTGATTTCCTTCAAATTGTATGTGAAGTAATAAGTTTTTGATCCCGTTATAAATGTGAAGGTTTGCCCACAAAGATCTCAACAGTGGCGAATTGTTATGTGACCATAAACGGGCAGTTCATGCTAGAAAACCTTTCAATATGGTGGGGTTGAAACAATTCTGTGAAGAAGAGTGGGCCAAAATTCTTCCACGGCGATGTGAAAGACTCATCACCAATTATCGCAAATGCTTGATTTCAGTTTTTGCTAAGGCTGGCACAAGCCATTACTAGGTTCAGAGGGCAATGAATGACTTTTTTACATAGGGACAGGTAAGTTTAGATATTTTTTGTGTCTAAATAAACTGAATTGCCATTTCCTTAGGTTGTTTCTGTGATATTAAAATTCCTTTGATAAACTGAAATATTTGTGTGTGTGTGTGCGCGCGCGCGTGTGTGTGCGTGTGTGCACGTGCGTGTGTGTGCGCGCGTGTGTGTGTGTGTGTGTGTGTGTGTGTGTGCGTGTGTGTGCGTGTGTGTGTGTGTGTGTGATCAATATGCAAAAACAAAGAAATCAGAAAAGGGGCAACTACTTTTTCACTGCACTAGAGTGAGTGAAAAGCTGGGTCATCCATGAAAGACTCAGAGTACAGATACTGCTCCTCTGCATTGAGAGGAGCCGGATGAGGAGGCTTGGGCATCTGGTTTGCATGCCTCCTCGACAACTGCGCGGTGAAGTGTTTTGGGCATGTCCCGATAGGAGGAGGCCTTGAGAAAGATGGGATATGCTGGAAAGAATATATCTTCAGATTGGGCGTGGGCGTGCCCCTGGAAAAGGTGGAGTAAGTGGCTGAGAAGATGGAAATAAGGGAGGGCCTCCCTCACCTCATGAATACGACCGCGGATACGCGAAAGAAAACAGATGGATAGATGAATGGATGGATGGAAAGATGGATAGATATTTTAAAAAAAACAGATATTACACCATTTGGCTTTTGCATTAAGTTTCAGGATAAACTTAAAAAGCAGTGCAGTTAAAAAACAAATTTTCATTGAACTTAATTTGACTTTCTTCAACTTCCGACTGCATATGCCTTACTGTTAAATTTTCAGTATTTTTGCACAACTGTTCTCTAACAAGGCAAAATTCACAACAAGCGTTTCATTCTAAATCATTTCCAAGCATGTCTACTTTGATGCCTTTCAGTGACTCTTGCAGAGTCTCTGTAACGCTACAACAAATTGCTAATGAGACACTCTTTGCTCAGGGGCCACTTGGTTCTGTTAACATCTCATTTGAAGCCTCATAATGCAAGGATTCTGTTAATCAGTTGTTTGGTGTCATTTTGGTCTCATGATGTCAAAATGTGAACAGGATGATGAAAAGCACTGTTTACCATTCTGCCTTAGCCAGGAAATGTATCGGTCAATTGATGGCTCAAACACTTAGTATATTAGTCCTAGGTCGAGAACAGCACATTGTACAAAACCTATGAACAAATTATGTGCACAAATAATGTGCATTTAAATGTATGCAAGTTATTCCCAAGACACAAAAGACAGAGCCATTGCTCACCTGTACAGTTCACCTCCTCCTTGTACACATATACTTCCTGCAGGTCCACAGTAGGAGATATAGGATAAAACGTTTCAAGAGCATGATCTGCTGTGTCTGACACTTGTTCTTTCCCAAAAACCCTTGGTAGAGGATCCATGCTGTTAAATATGAAGCCATTCTGACCTCGAACCTGGAACAAGTTTTCGCCTGGTACACAAAAATAAAACCACATTTTCAGTGTTTTGTCCTAAGCTGTTTAATATATCTAAGTCACCATTTGAAACAAAAATATGAAAACCAATTTTCATATAATAGATTATACAGGGTGTCCATAAAGTCTCTTTACCATTTCAAAAATTTATTAAAAATGCAATTGGTTAGATATTGTATTCAGGTTTGTTCTATTGTATTCAGTGTTTATTAAAGTTTTTTTATCACACTGCATTTGTGTGTTTCAGGAATCCTGTTTGTTTGTTTGTTTATATTTGGTCTATTTTTCTTCAACGAGACATCCATTTCTGCAAATTTACCTTGACCTTTTAACTGAATTTGTGGCACCACAACTGAATGACCTTCAACCAACCATCATTTTTCAGCAAGATGGTGCACCACCACATTGGCGGCTGCATGTTTGTGGGTTCCTCAATCAAACATTTCCAGACTGGCGGACTGGAAGGGATGGGCCAATTTCGTGGCCGCTACGTTCACCAGATATCACTCCCCTGGACTTCTTTCTATGGGGCTATGTTAAAGATATTGTGTATCGAACAAAGATAAGGGGCATTACTGACGGAAAGCAAAGAATTACTGATGCCATTGCCACAATTGATGAGGCTATGCTACAGCAAACACGGCAAGAAATCGAGTACTGTCTTGATGTGCTTCGTGCAACTAATGGTGCCCATGTAGAAGTGTCAGAGTTAAAAAAAAACTTTAATAAACGCTGAATACAATAGAACAAATCTGAATAAAATATCTAATCAATGACATTTTTAATACATTTTTGAAATGGTAAAGAGACTTTATGGACACCCTATATAAATATTTTTTGTGTACTTATGTACAATAAACATGCACCATAATTTCTTAGATGACAAAACACACCTGATTAAAATCCCCAAAAGCTAAATTTAGCCATAAAATGCATTTGTCCAAACTGTATATTCACTTTATTAGCCACGGGTCTCCAAGGGATATTTGCAAAAAAGAGGTCACACAGATGGATTTTTAAAAACTTAAACCGGTTGACGCTTTTTGACGCTGTACGCAGCTAGTTCCACAGTAGCGTCCCTGATACTTTCTCAGTCTCTCTTGAAACAGAAGGCATTTGGTAATCATTTCAATAGTATACCTCTTTTCCATGTAGCTGCCAATGAGTATTTCTCAGTGAACATTCTCCTTCCAATTAATGGGTGGCTGGACTGAAGTGTGGCACAAAGATGGAGCAGGTTGAAAAGGAGTGTCTTGCTAAGAAAGATAAATATAAAATCAACATGTTCAGAGAATTTAAAGTGAAGTTATGACATTTATTGATATTAGTAAAGGGGCTGGGGTGGACTATGAGACTCGAGGCGACCCAACCACGTTCTTCTCCCAAGTCAGAGTCGAAGTCATTTGTTCTTGAGTATCTGCTGATACTGGGTTTTTATCCGATACTTCGGCAATGCATTATGACGAAAATTAAGAGTGCATATGATTGTCTTTTTTTTTGGGGGGGGGGGTAGTTTTTGTTTGTTTTTCGAATAAAGGTATCCCAACATAATTTGACATGACTTTTGACAGAGCTGAAGTGCTTCAAATTAGGTAAACAAATAAAATATTTTATTCTTGACTTTAGAAATGCACAGCCCGGTGATCCAGTGGTTAGCGCGTCAACCTCACAGTCCAGAGGTCGTGGGTTCGATCCCAGCTCCGGCCCTCAAAATACCTGTATTTTGCTGGTCGCCCCTCAGTTGTGTCCCAGAAGCGGGCATGTTTGATGGCGTTCAGAACACGGTTTTCCTGATCTGGTATTTGATTGGCAGGACTCTTTGTCAGTGATAGAAGCAGAGGTGGGAAACCAGTGACTGCCGTGCTTTTGGTTAACCAAAGGGCCTGTCGAACACCTGTAAAAAGATTACATGTTATTTCCCTGTCCACTTTTACACAAACAGACTAGGACATGTAACATTGCAAGACAATGTTCCACTAACATTCTGGCTAATAGAGCAACAAGACAGATGTAGCTACATCTGTGTGGTCAAGTTTATTTGGATAGCCCTTAATCACTTATGAGGCTCCAAGGGTTTCACAGGCCCACAGTTGAAAAAGATTTGCAACAATCCCTGATCTAAATCCCAAACCAGGCAAGGAAAACTCAAAACCCGATTTGGGGAATGAGATATCTTAAAAAGGGACCACGATGGAGCAATCCCCCTTCCATGATAACCACTGTGTAATGAATGCCAAGTGAGTATTGTTTATCACATTAAGGTATTATAGTGGTAAACATCCATCCATCCATTTTCTGATCTGCTTATGTCACAAGGGTCACGAGGCATGCTGGAGCCACTCCCAGCTGTTTTCGTGCAGTAGGCAGGGGACACCCTGAACTGGTTGCGAGCCAATCACAGGGCACACACAAACCAACAACTATTTACGCTCACACACACCTAGGGCAATTTGGAGTGTTGTTACACTAGATGTGTGTGCAACTTTTTTTCGAGCCTTGTCCGTTGTTGTAATGGAACCTGCGTGAAAAAGGAGAATTTTCCATGTCTGGGAACGTTTCGATTTGATTGCTTCTAATAAGGTATGGTAAAGAAAAGAAGCTACCTTAATATAAAAGTGAATACATAGCTTTTCTCTTGTTCTCATGTCTAACTTGAGGTATTTCACAGATGAAGTGTCTGTTGTTGGCAAGGGAGCTTGTATACAACAATATAACGTCATCTATGCTGAGGCATGACAGAGCCCTGCATGAGTGCAAGGAGACTCATGAAACTGGACGAAGCTTAAGCAAGCAAAATTACACAATGTACAAACACTGCAAATGGGCTGGCCAGCACTATAGAGCTCAGTCAAGAAGTGGAGGCAAGATGGTTTAAAAGCCAACACTGTGGGAAAGCTGTTATTTCTAAATAAAAATGATTAACATGTTGTCGTCATAGCACTTGTTGCATTTTGTTCACATAGTAATACCGTGGGCTTCGAGACCGCTTGATGGCACCATAGAGCAAATAAAGCGCCATGAAGCTTTGAACCATGTGAACCATTTGGCTGCAAAATGTCACTGCTTCATGAGGCTTCCTTTGGCCATCACTATGTAAAGCCCCATTTACATCTGTGACAATGAACGCTACAATTGAAGTTCAGAAATATTTGTCAGAACCAAACATTGACAGAAGCACAGATCCATTGCAGCAATGGAAAGGACAAAGATATATATTTCCTCAGGGGCATCACTAGGTTTCAAGAACAAGGGGGACTTAGCCCCAAGGAGAACACAGCCCCTTTAGGGGGGTCCGGGGGCATGCCCCCCCGGGAGAATTTTTTTCTACATTCTGTTAAAAATCCATCAATTCCGTGCACTTTGAGAGCAAAATTAAGAGGCTATGAAGAACTACACACATCACATTAGTATCCTCTTTACTATGATGGGGCTTCCTCCCCTGGACTTTAACTGGACTAGATAATAGAAATTATAAAGAGTTCAAAAGTTCAATCTTGGTTGTTCAAGGGAATTAGAAGGATGCCCGATAACATAACCTATATGACAGTAGGCCTATATTCCTCTCTACCAAAATGTATTAATATATGCTTAGCCCCCAGAAGACTATGTATTTTGAGATTTCTGCCGTGATATGCAATTTAAGTTAGTACAATGAGATGCAAAAGCTTCATCACTTTGGAAAAACACAAGTTTGCTGCTCAATACTTACTGTAAGCTCCGATTGCATTTTGGGAACAGCCTTGCAAGTAAAATTAGCCTTGAGATCTGATAGACTCCCCTGTCCAGCAGAGACCCCCCCCCCCCTCACTCTCTGTGCGTCTTTAGCCTGATTCCTATCAAATAAATACATTTATTTATTTTATATATATTTATTTATTTTATATAGGCCAAAATCTCAATAGGTGTTGCCTCAAAGAGTTGGTGTAATGATTATTTATGTATTTAATAATAAAATGTTGCTTAATTTTTATTAAGCACCACCTTAATTTATCCAAAAGTGAACACTTGTTACAGTGCAGTTTCTGCTGTTACTGGAGATATTTTAGCGGACTATAGTCACTAGTTTTACCTGCATGGATGCATTGAATACATTAATTTACCTTTCGAAAAAAACTGTCGAATATCCATGCTGTCGACTCAACCTGACTTTCGGCAATGAACTGTCAGTTGTTGCGTTAGCATTTGATATGGCGATGGTGACAGACACGTCAATGCTAACGCAACACCTGTTGCGTTCAGGAAACCTGGGAGATTTAACATTACAATAATGGCAGGGTATCGAAATATAATTTAAAATGGCCACATTACATTGAATTTGATGCAATATATTAGCAAAAGTACAGGAAAAATAAATCATACTTTTTTTTAAATAATGCAATGAAATTATTTATGGGGCTAAAGACATTTTTAGGGAGGCTGAAGCCTCCATAAAATAGGCCTAATGACGCCCATGTATTTCCTACTTTTTTCCCCAAGTGGCTTTCACGTACGGTTCTACACCAGCATCATTTGTGCCCTGTGAGGGCACAAATAATTCAGAGGAAATCTGAAGAAAACAAAACCTTGCTGTTTCAGTCCAGCCACTTTGGAAAAACAGAAATCAGTGAAACATATCAATGTTTAATTCTCATTTACAAGCACTAATGCAACAAGCACATTCTTGTTTCTAATTGTTTTTTCACTGTAGTTCTACCACTTGTTTTTTTTTGTTTGTTTGTTGTTGTTGTTTTTTTTGGGGGGGGCGGGGGGGTAATTACATTGTAGTACGTTTTAGTAAACTCTTGATAGCGCCATAGAGTAAATAAACCCTTCTGGAGTGTTGGTGTGTGTGCCGGCACGGTTGGTTAAAAGTTTCGATGGTTCGTTAAGGTGTCTCTCGCCATCACCACAGCCAGCAACGACACACGTACAAGGCAGGACTAATGGCAATGACGCTTTTGTTGGTGGGGCGAGTCTTTCAATTTGTCCGCCGGCAATGTTTTGTAGAAGATGCAGAAAAGCACGAACGCAATTTTATCGTGATTACAGTAGGTCGGCCGTTAATAGTTTATTTTAGCGTGGTGTGCAGACTGTTGTGTTACGGTTCTGCTAAAAAAAAAACTATTTAAAAAGGTACAGAGCGGCATTTGAACCCTTGACACAAAATAATAAAACAGCGACTCCAGTGCGACCCTTCGAAACCCTACCAGTTGACACACTTGAAACGGTCGCGGCAGAATAACCACTACGTTAAATCACTCTTGGAAATCGACAACCAGGGTCACCCTTTGGGTTGTTGTTATTTAGACTCTGCTCCCATAGAGAAAAATTGTGAAAATTGATGCTCATGTTAGAAAATGTTTTATGATACCTTCCAGTGCGTTGGTCCTCTGGTTAAAGACATAACACGGTGTCTCTCGCGACAACGGCATCTCATGACTTGGAGGGGGTCTGAAATACTGTGGATCCTTATAGTCCCTTTTCCACTGTGGGAAAACAGGTTTAGACAGCCCTGGGACATAGTGCATCCTTTCTCCATAAGTGACCATTTCTAGTCCTGGGATGTGAACTTTTTCTTTGGGCTCACTTACAGTCCTAGCCTTCCTCGCAGAAATTTGGCTGCGACAGAAATGTCGGACCTGTAATCGGTTTATCTCTCCATATGCGGAGATCCAGTCTCTGTAGTATAACGATTTGAAAAACCGCAAAGCAGTTTCCGGAAACATTGATATTCCTCGTTGGTGGCGTGATACACGGCGAGGACGAAGGTACTTGCTAAAACACAACCCTAACACTTCCTGCACAATGTGGGGCGCGCATGCGCAGACGCTTGTGGTTGTCTTCGTCGCCCTCTACTTCTTCGTTGGAGATGTCCTCTACTTCTTCTTCGTCGTAGTTGTCCTCTATTTCTTCTTCTTCTTCTTCTTCTTCATCTTCTTCTTCTTCTTCTTCTTCTTCTTCTTCTTCTTCTTCTTTTTCTTCTTCTTCTTCTTCTTCTTCTTCTTCTTCTTCTTCTTCTGTGTGCAGTATATTGAAGGTGGTTGACTTTCATCGTGATACTTTAACGCCTTCAGGCAATTCTCTTGCTCCCTACACGACCTTTGCCACTCTCCTCTCTTTGGAGTTGTTCAAAGGTAACCAAAGGGTTTTTGCATTATCCGATTGGATTCAATCTTGGATTAGATCATATCCAAGAACAATCCAATCCTTGTATTAACCCGGAGCAAGCCTTCAATTTTTGCTGTTCAAATCATTTCAGTAAAATCTGGATAATTTTGATTTCAGAAAACGGGATTATCTTCATCCCGAGAGACAGTAGGAATTCAAGGTGGATTTCAGGAAGAAAATGTAGCAAATCTTTAAATTTGGTCAAACATATTATTTGTATCATATTTGTACACTGTATACCGGTACGGTAGATTACACGTGTTTAGATGGTACAGCCCAAGTTTGAAGTCAATAGGGTTAATCGTCTAGTACAGTGGGTCTTAATCTTGGTAGAAAAATTAAATGTTTATATATCAAAGACCAAACCAAAAGTATTTGTTTGTGGAAATTGGATCAAGCCAAGAGATTTTTTCTATTTTGTAGTCACATAAAACTACAAAGTTAAGACTTCCAAGTTGAGAAAATATTTAGTTAGTGTTGGAGGCGATCAAGCAGGGGGAGTGTGTTGTGGCGGACACGGCGGGATCCCTTCACCGTCCTCCGCTTCCCCCCAGGTCCTCCGCGTGTTCGTTTGATTCGGGCTGAGTTGAGGTGTGAAAATCAGAGGCTGGAAATGGAGAAGTTCTTGCAAGAGGTTTTACTGAACATTCAGGGCACAAGTGTGAAACAAACAAGTGTTGTGGTCAAGACACAAATGCGCAAAAAAACCAAAGTCCCTATACCAGTCTTATATGTTCTAAGCGGGGCTTATGGGTATCATCTTTTCCTGTTATGGGCATCACCTTTTCTGTTTCGGGATGACGGTTTGAATGTCCTTGGTCTCTTTTTCTTCCCTTGGACGACGGTTTGAATGTCCTTGGTTTATTTTTATCTATTTTAATCATTTTTATGCTCTGATATCGTGTTCTTATAAAACTCTGACATTTCTCAGAAGTTATCTTAATGTTCTGGATGGAACACAGCTGTAGGTGGGAAACCGCAATCTAGCCACCAGACGTGCTTACGTACTTGTGTGGTCTATGTTCACGAAAGGTGTTAACAATATTTTCTGTTGTCAAGGCAGTTCAAATTAAGGTCACCTCATAAAGTTCAACTGGCGGTCATATTGCTAGACTCAGAGTGAGGTTTATAGTCAAAGTCTGTCTGTCTGCAATACATAGTTTTAAGATAAACTTGTAACATATAAAAGTGATAACTTCATTAGGTATAAAGTTCCAAATAGATGAGGAATTACCCCAAAATTGTTTGAGCTAATTAATTTTAAATGTATTATTGAGGGTAGAAAAGGTGAGGAAGTCGAGGACCTTTTTACTACTTATGTATGAAAAATTTTAAATATAACAATTTTTGCCAAACCCAACGTGTGTGTGCAAAGTTTGGTGACGTTTGATTCATGTTTATTTCCTCACAAATGTGAATCTTTGACTAGTAACTACAGCTGCGAGCAGCTATAAAGGGCACCCACAACCCGACCAATTTTTGGAAAATGAAGTACATCAGATTGAAAGCTATTTTGATCAGATATTACCTATACAAAAGACCAAAAATGAAGCAAAAATTTGAAACAAAATTAGAAATGTCTAACTTCGTTTTAAGTTTAGAGTAGGTGTCCTGAGACTTTTTGTCGGTCTTGGGCTCTTACATGTGCCTCCAACTTTTGGTAGATCTTGGTGAAATGTTCAGGCTGTTTTGTTAATAAAAATTTGAAGAAGGTGCAATTAAGCCTTTTTTTCCCTAACGGCAAAATTAACTCATAAGAGTGATTATTTGGCCAGGCGTGTTGTGTTTACCAAGTTTCATGTGTTCACGAATGTTAATACCATCAAAATCAGTGTCATTTTTCTCGGAAAATGGCATGTCGCCACAACAAAAGCGTTCATTTCTGGTTGCCTTGAATGTATTTGTAGTTCTGTCTCAGTCGGGATAGGGACGTCCTGTTCCTCGAGAGCCATATCCTGCCTGTTTTAGATCCCTCCCCACTCCAACACACCTTATTCAATTGTTTATGATCAGATCATTTCAGGCCTCTACAGAGCTTGCTGATGAGCTAAGAAGTCGATCATATCACAACATAAACCAAAAATGTAGAGGTATTAAAAAAAAAAAAAAAAATCACAATTTAAATTTGCCCACCCAAATGGTAGTGATATCCACTCTGCATGGTAGGTTAATTGATCACTCCTTCGGCATGATTGTGAGTGTGAATGGTTGTTTATTCTATTTGTGTCCTGCAATTAGCTGGCAACAAGTTCAGTGTTTACCCTGCCTGCTGCTCGAAGCTGGGCTGTTGCATGCCCACAACCCTCGTGACGAAAAAACCAGTTCAGATCATTAATGGATCAATGGATGTTTGTCCACACACACAAACACACACATACACTTATACATATACATAAATATCCATCTATCCATCCATCCATCTTCAACCGCTTATCCGGGGTTGGGTTGCGGGGGCAGCAGCTTTAACAGGGAAGCCCAGACTTCCCTCTCCCCAGCCACTTCTAGCTCTTCCCGGGGGATCCCGAGGCGTTCCCAGGCCAGCTGGGTGACATAGTCTCTTCCAGCATGTCCTGGATCGTCCCTGGGGCCTCTTGCCGGTGGGACATGCCCGGAACACCTCACCAGGGAGGCGTTCAGGAGGCATCCTAATCAGATGCCCGAGCCACCTCATCTGGCTCCTCTCGATGTGGAGGAGAAGCGGCTCTACTCTGAGCCCCTCCTGGATGACCGAGCTTCTCACCTTATCTCTAAGGGAGAGCCCGGACACCCTGCGGAGAAAACTCATTTCGGCCGCTTGTATCCGGGATCTCGTTCTTTCGGTCATGACCCATAGCTCGTGACCATAGATGAGGGTTGGAACATAAATCGACTGGTAAATTGAGACCTTCACCCTTTGGCTCAGCTCCTTTTTTACCTCGACAGGCCAATACAAAGTCCACATCACAGCAGACGCTGCACCGATCCACCTGTCGATCTCTCGGTCCCTCCTGCCCTCACTCGTGAACAAGACCCCAAGATACTTAAACTCTCAACCAAACTCTGACAACGGTGGTACAGGGACTGAACAGCCCGTATCAGGGGGTTCGGCACTCCATACTCCTGAAGCACCCCCCACAGAACTCCCAGAGGGACATGGTCGAACGCATTCTCCAAGTCCACAAAGCACATGTCGACTGGTTGGACGAGTTCCCGTGTACCCTCAAGGACCCTGCTAAGGGTGTAGAGCTGGTCCACAGTTCCACGGCCGGGACGAAAACCACACTGCTCCTCCGCAATCTGAGGTTCGCCTCCCCGACGGACCCGCCTCTCCAGCACCCCTGAATAGACCTTACCAGGGAGGCTGAGGAGTGTGATCCCTCTGTAGTCGGAACACACTCTCCGGTCCCCCTTTTTAAAAAGGGGGACCACCACCCCGGTCTGCAAATCCAGAGGCACTCTCCCCGATGACCACGCGATGCTGCAGAAGCGTGTCAACCAGGACAGCCCCACAACATCCAGAGCCTTGAGGAACTCCTGGCTGATCTCATCCACTCCTGGGGCCTTGCCACCAAGGAGCTTTTTAACCACATCGGTGACTTCAACCACAGAGATAGGAGAGCCCACCTCAGTGTCCTCAGACACTGCTTCCTCCAAGGAAGGCTTGTTGGTGGACCAGAATTTCCTCGAAGCCGTCCTGAAGTTGGCTTCCATGGGCTCACCGAACTCTTCCCCGGCCTGAGTTTTTGCCTCGGTGACCACTGAAGCTGCGTTCCACTTAGCCAGTTGATACCCTTCAGCCGCCTCTGGAGTCCCACAGGCCATAAAGGCCCGATAGGACTCCTTCTTCAGCTTGACGGTATCCCTTACTGCTGGTGTCCACACAACAGGCACCGACCACCTTACGGCCACAACTCAGATTGGCCACCTCAACAATAGAGGCACGGAACATGGTCCACTCGGACTCAATGTCAACCACCTCCCCCGGGACATGGGAAGAGCTCTGCCAGAGGTGGGAGTTGAAACTCCTTCTGACAGGGGATTCTGCCAGACACTCCCAACAAACCCTCACAATACGTTTAGGTCCAGGTCCAGGTCAGACCGGCATCTTCCCCCACCATCAGAGCCTACTCACCACCAGGTGGTGATCAGTTGACAGCTCCGCCCCTCTCTTCACCCGAGTGTTCAAAACATGCGGCCGCAAATCCGATGATACAACCACTGATGGAGAATAGACAAACACAATGTTATCATGTTTAAAAGTTTCATTTTGTTCCATGCTTGATTGACCTCGAACGCATGTGTTTATACAGCTTGGACACAATGGCGCACAGAGAATCAGGTGTCAGTTTGAGGTGAATGGAGCCAAGGCGCTTGTTCACTGATAATATAGAAAGGGAGATTTAACTTCGGGCGGATAGGCAGCTCTGGGTACACTCCAGCAGGAGAAGAGGACCCGAAGCAAGGTTACAGATGTATCGGTTCATGGAAAGGCCACTCCTTAAAATGTCTTTGTATCTGTTGATTTGTGGATGTTGGTGCTTGTACCAGGGAAACCCTTTGGCCTCCAGGTGTCCACTGAGGGGCATATCATTGGGGCCGGCCGAGAGGCGTGGTATATAAATGAAGAATGGAGTTTTTTTCTGTTATGTTTCTTGTAATTTGCATACACGATCAATAATGTTGATTATTGTGAATTGGGA